GCATAACTGCCACCCGTTTTGTACACAATAAACTCTCATTCGGGTGGCTTCTATTTTTACGCCGTCCCTGTTGTGTAACTCATTGGGGATTCTAAAGGGCGTAATAAGACTGAAGTCATCTTTACAACAGAAGCAACCCACCTGGTCAGCCGGGGGTGTGGTGGGTCCGTTGGCACCCTCAGCTATCACCTTTGCCTGGATGCGGTCGGCATTGGCCAGGGTGATTTGGCGTTCACTGGCAGCAGGCACCAGAATGTCGCACTTCTCGAAGAGCAGCGAGTCCTTGGTATAGGGCTCCGCAGCGGGGAAGCCGACAATTGTTCCGTAAGCCTAAATAGTACAGATTGGCTAGAAACGTCAACCGAAAAAAAACGTACAAATTTTGAACACAAAAGCTGGTCAAAACTTGCCAATAGAGAAGCATTCGTGATTGGGAGGTCCGCGCGAGAGACAACCCAAACACTGAAAGGGAACACAAAGTCCGCAGAACAATGTGATACCTTGGTAGTCAAGAGGTTAACTACAGCAGGTAAATAAACCTGGCTGCGCGGCACGTTCGGCTTGCATTAGAAGGGGTGTAATTAAGAGCTTGCAGTACTGGGTAAACGAGAATCCTATTCTCAAGGAACCGTTTTTTTCCCGGAATTTAAGGTTAGTTGAGAAACATGAGGCATGTTATCGTCGTATGGTAACTGTAAGGGTTCAGGATAAATAGAATGAGCTCTCAAAAATGAATACTCAGACGTTGATGTGTGAAAGGTACTCTTACACTAATTCACGCACTGGTGCATGTTGGCTATCCTGCAAGATTTTTCCACAGAAAAATTTGGCTTGAGCAAAACTGAAATAGAACCACTCGCCTCCCCTGAAGTTCACGCCTACGCGGTTGTTACCTCCTTTCCTAGGACAGACGTCTGCGCTGGGTTCTCGACCTTGGCAATGATGCTATCATCGCTGATACAAGCGAAAATGCATGACCCAGGCAGTAAATGAGAAAAAGTAGATACGATCGTCGGGGCAAGAACTTCATTTGCCTTACCTTTCGGATTTCAGCTCGAACCCATTATCAGAGAGGGGATAATTCTGGCACAGGAAATTGCGGTATTGATAAGATGCGGTGGCTAGGCTACTGCATACCTACGACAATTAACGCTCCCCACCTTTCAATGAGGATGGTTGACCTCTAGTGTATTATTGGCAGGTCAATAGTTGTTGAAATTTCACCCTATCCCCACTGTTGGATATTGGTGTGATGAGTGTGCGAGGCCAGCTAGCTCACCGGTAATGGCGTTAGAAAGTGTGTTCGCCTGCGTGTTCCCCGAGTGGCTGACAAAACCCAAGCTCAGCGCCGAATATGGGTTGGGGAGGTCATTCCACTTGTTAATAGACTGGG